AGACACGATTTAATAAATATTATTCTCTTAGATCCAGGGATTGATTAAGAGTAAACAGTATAATAAGGACACAAGTTGATTTAAAAAGGAAAAAAGACTGGAGGGAAAGAAAAAAAGAAAAAAAAAATTTAAACCTCATTGATCCAGTGGAGAGCATAAGAAGAGTGAACAAAGTGCAGAGAATTGTTGGGGAAGAGCCTGCCATAGAAAGAACCAGGCATTCCTGCAATAAAACATGACCCAAACTTCTTCTCATGTTCTTCATCAAGTTTCTTATAGAAGCCTGGCAATGACCTGAACACCGTGTTGAAATCGTTTCCAGGAAGATCATTCAAGAAGGCTTGGAGTGATGGAGGTGGGCGGTTGAGTTTGTGGTAAGTTGTGCGGATGCTGTCTATGATATCTGACACCACCAAAAGTGTGTTGGGTCCTGAAGAGCATCCCAAGTCCGCTACTTTCAAACACTCTGGGAAGAGAGTGCAACACAGCTCCTCTATGCTTGCACCAACTATGGGCTTCACCATTGAAATCATTGCTCTCTGAAGAAAAAAATAAACGAGATTGAAGGAAGCATGAATATTGCATAATTCCTCCTCTCTACCAGAATTTTTTTTTGGTACATAATTTTGGTTATAACTTCTAACTATCAAAATAATTTTAGAAAGAACCATGTTCTTTAAGTGGTGGATATTATGTCCATATATATATATATATTATATAATATATATATATATATATACACACACAGAGAGAGAGAGAGAGAGAGAGAGAGAGAGAGAGAGAGAGGGTGACTAACTTGAAGTAGGGAATTATTTGCATAGCTTGTCTTCCCAACTCCTCCATTCATGTGTAGGACTTGCTCTACCTTCATTTTTGTGTTCTCCCTCTTGGTACCAATTCTGCTAGAAGACTCCCGCATATTTATAGCAAAATGCCTACCGAACACAACTAACTTGTCACATTTTTACCCCAGACTTTTATAAAAATTCCTACATTTTAGAAGATATTCCTACGTAACACATCTTTGGCATCATTTGACAAAAAGAAAAAAAAACAGTGTGTGCGCTAATTAATAGTAGATCGCATACAATTAAGATTCCTTGTTTAATTGTATCTCGATTTATTATTAATTTTATCTCTGAAGGCAAGGAAAATGGAAGTGAAAGTTCTTCGGAAATTTTTTATTTTAGTTTTAGTATTTGATTCGTAGAAAACCCAAAACCCTAATTAAGTATCCAAACTCAAATTTAAGACCCTTGAAAAAGAAGTTCATGTTCGAGATTGTTAATTAATTTTTTTTTGTTGATTAGGATCACACCCATTAGAGTAATTTAAATGCAGTATAACAAGTTCATTTCAACTAAGTTTTTCTCTACTTGCAGTAGTTAACAAATCAAGTTCAATGCCACAATTCCAACTAAGTTTTTATGGTCAGAAGCAGAGCCACTTTTGACCCCCAAAAAAGAAAAAGAAAAGCAGAGCCACAGCCGTGGTTTTGCAGCAAACTTTCATTATGTCCCATGAAACTGTAGAGTAAATCACAATGCAAGTCGAAGGTGTGCTAATTAACTTATTTCCTGGAATATAATTTGGGCACACTGACCAAACTTCAACCCCCATATGCACTGCCATTTCTGAACCCCCCAAAAAAAGGCAACTGTCATTTAGCTATTTGAGATTACAAGTCAAAATCAAGGTTCGGTTGTTTTTGTACTTTGAATCCTCAGCCTCAAGCTTTTTCATGGCCACGTGAACCAAAGTTTGTCTGAAAATGCGATAAGGAAGCAGACATGGGATGTCTAGATTGACAATTGATAATTCATTGTTGTTTGTGATTCTGATGGTTAGTCTGTTCACAATGTTACAAAGGTACTTGACTAGTTAATTATATTCGCCACATTCTGTGTTCAAGGAATACTTGGTGCAAATCAAAAGGGACTTCGTGGTCTTTTTGAGGCAACATGCACAAGAGCTGGTGCCTTGGGGTAGAATGGTCCTCACAACCATCGCCAGCATAAAGAGCCATGATCCCCTCTACATTATGGAATTGGTTGGATTGAAACTCTCGATGACATGGTTTTAGAGGTAATGTGTAATATGGATGATTAGATACTAGCTAGATGGATAATAGTAAGTAGCTAGTAACATTAAACCGCATGTATGGCTGTTATTTTGGATGATATGTCGGAAATATGTTTACTACAATTAGTGGCTTTTAAGTGCTAACCAGTTAATCTTAATACGGCGCTAATCACTTATCTGGATTCACTCCAGAATACTTTCCATTATCCGAATAGTTCATTTTCTTAAGTTATCACAGGAAGATCATCGCTCGAAAAAAAAAATCCACTCAAATAAAAAAGTATTCAATATCTAATTGAGACTACAAAAGAAAGACACAATATTTTGCGTAAACCATAGAATGGTAACAACAATAACCAAATGGCTACATGGTTTCAATTTGGGTGGATTTTTATAAGGATGATCTTTGAGCATGAATTCAAACATGAACAATTCGAATTATGAGATTAAATTGTATAGTGGGACAAAACAAGTGGTTAGAGACATTAACTTACTATACTATACTATAATAATCACTTCAGATAAATGCAAAAAAGTGCTTTGTACCACTTTTTTAACAACATTAATGTAGAATATAATAAATTTTTCAACGAGATAACCAGGTTAATGAACTGGCAGTTCTCCCTTTCCATGTGATCAAGAACATCTGCTTCAAACCTACGAAACAAATTATCCATCACTTCTTCTCCGAATTGGCTCTCCAACAGCCCTTATGTCAGTGGCAAATTTTGCAGCCCTCGTCTTCTTATCAAGGCCACTGTTAGCTTGCTTTATATAAGAGTCCCAATCATTTTTGAAAACTTGAAGGCTTTGCAAAGTAAATGATCCTTCAGCCTGGATCACCTCTTCTATCTCCTTCGTTGTAGGTGTATAGAATGGCATATTGAATGCGTCCAATTTTTCCTCATCAATCAAACCCTGATAATTCATCAAAATATACATTTCTAAATAGCTAAAAAGGAAATATATTGCAGCCCTACTTGCTAGAATCTAATATTTAATTACCTCTAAAACCATGTCATCGAGTTTCAGTCCTACAAATTCCCAAATGCAGAGGGGATCATGACTCTTTATGCTGCCAGTGGTTGTGAGTACCATACTGCCCCCTGGGACAAGCTCTTCTGCTCGTGAGCTCAAAAAGACTGTGAAGTCCCTTTTGAATTGCTCCAAGTATTGCTTAAACACAACTGGAGGGCTTGTCTTTGCTATATATATGTTCCCCTTGTTAAGTCCCTCTCCTTCTTTGGTCACCAAGCCTTTTGGAACCTACGTACACACGTTTATGCTCATGACTTATCAGATTAAATTATCAGACATGATTTTAGAATTATTATTAGTTTACCAATTGAATAAAGTAATAAAAAATAAAAAAAATTCATAGAAGACTGGTTGATAAAGCTAAAAAATTAGACAAACTTGCAAGATATATAATTTTTTTTTTTTAAATCCCTAGTTGATTGAGAAAGTCTTCTCATGGAAACATTTTTATGTTTGACTAAAAATGAGTTATATATAACTGGGTGTATGAAGAGTTTATGCCTAATAACGACTCAATGATTGATTAAAAAAAGAAATCAACCTCAGAGATCCAGTGAAGAGCATAAGAAGAGTGAACAAAGTGCAGAGAATTGTTGGGGAAGAGCCTGCCATAGAAAGAACCAGGCATTCGTTCCTGCAATAAAACATGACCCGAACTTCTCATATTCTTCTTCAAGTTTCTTATAGAAGCCTGGCAATGACCTGAACAACGTGTTGAAATCGTTTCCAGGAAGATCATTCAAGAAGGCTTGGAGTGATGGAGGTGACCGGTTGAGTTTTTGGTAAGTTGTGTGGATGCTGTCTATGATTTCTGATACCACCAAAAGGGTGTTGGGTCCTGAAGAGCATCCCAAGTCCGCTACTTTCAAACACTCTGGGAAGAGAGTGCAACACAACTCCTCTATGCTTGCACCAACTATGGGCTTCACCATTGAAATTACTGCTCTCTGAAGAAAAAAATAAACGAGGTTGAAGGAAGCATGAATATTGCATAATTCCTCCTCTCTACCAGATTTTTTTTTGGGTGCATAATTTTGGTTATAACTTATAACTATCAAAATAATTTTAGAAAGAACCGTACGTTCTTTAAGTGGTGGATATTTTATATATATTGTTTGTAGCATATCTGACCCTCCACTCATACAGCGACGTGTGGATTGGTAAAACTCCCCAATTGCCCAAGGCAGCGAACAATCGGTATCACCTACCGATTCTATCGAACAAACCTCAAAAACTCCGTCCAAAATATTCAAAGACTCGTGTCAACCTCACAGGGCCCTCCCACGAGTCCCACATCGAAATTAAGTACTAAGAGCATACCAAATGCCCTCTATAAATAGGCCCCTTCACTACAATACAGGGGCAAGACTTTTTTGGCTTGACTTTTATGCTAAATACATTGTCAGTAACAAAAGCTCTTAGAAACAAACTTACTTTGGCATTGGAGGGTCTTAGGCTGGTTCCACATCGGTTCCATAAACCTCACGAGCCTCGGCCTCCCTCTATTCAGGATCAGCATCTAAGGACGGGAAGAATCTGCGTCACGCGCTCAATCGATCTCTAGATCGTCCACATCACTTGTAAGTTGCACTCATCTCTATCTGTTCAGTTTTAGTGCCAACAGATTGGAGCCGTCTGTGGGAAATTGGTCACCGATCGACCCATATCTCAAAACTCTGAGACTAAAAAATGAATCCATCTTCGTCCCTCCCTGCCGATGGCCCCATCCTCGGCATCACTGGTGAGCCAAGCGCTGCTCCCCTGCCTCACGCACAGCGGACGGAGACGCCTGTTTGGCCAAATACTTTGGAAACTCGTGTGGAAACTCTACAACGGGAAATGGCTAGAATGCAGGAGCACAACAATATCCTCTCCTCCAAACTTGATGACACCCAGAGACAACTGCATGATCAGTAAACGCACTCAACCCAGCTGCAGGACGGCCTGGAACGGACCATCCAGCTTCGGCAGGAGAAATCGTTTAAAAGTGTGCGGAAGCCCAGCGCTCAGGATAAAGGGAAACAGCATGCCGCTGGCAAGCCATCTGCCTCCCGAAGGCTATTCGTACCCTCCCTAAGGGAGTGTCACCAAGAGTACCAAGTTCACTCCGACTGTCGCGATAGGATCAACGATCGACGCAAAGAGCGACAGCCTTCGCCCATCCCAATCCAAGCCAAACCGATCGACGTCTGGGGGCACTCGGACCAAAATTCCCCCATACGCCGAAGGTACGACACGATTGGCCTGGAAGAGACGGACGAATCAGACTATGTCCCAACTTCACCAGGAACCACAATCTCCCACCGATCAGCAGGACCTTCGAAAGAGCACCACAGCCACCGATCAAATAAAGAGAACGATCGGCATGGGGGAGGCTACGAGAGAAACTCCAGCCGAACGGCAGATCAAGAAATACAGGGATACAAGGCCGACCGACGGGTAGATAACCAGGCGGTAGAACCCTTCGGTGACAATCTCCCCTGCACCGATCCCACCATCCGTCTTCTCCTCCAAAATATGAACCGCATTGAGGAAGAACAAAACCAAGCTCGGACACCAACGTGGGGAAAGGTACAACCGGGACCATTCACCAATCGCATCTGAACGTACAGACACGAAAAAGAGGTCCAAGCACTCCTAATATCGTTCTACTCAGGAGTGGAAGATCCTGTAACTCACATCCACACTTTTCAATCAGCCTTGGGTTGCAAGGGGCTCACTGAAGAAAGCCAATGCTTATTGTTCCCCTCCACCTTG